TGTTGATAAAAAATCAAATTTCTTTTAGCTTGTCCAGCTCTTTTTAATACATCATCATTTTCTCTTATATAATTTGAAATATCATCATTTTCATAATCTATATTATTATTAAAAGTAACTTCCTAAATATCCATATTAATTTCTAAGAAATTATGTAAAATTATTGCACATAATGTAAACAAAACTCCCATTTTAACTGTTTTAATATCAAGATTCCTTAATATCCCAAATCTTGCTTTTAATCTTCCAAAAGCATTTTCTACTACAACTCGATGAGATGAATGAAAGCAGTTAAAATCTTTTTATTTTTGAGAATTTGGATCTTTAAAAGGTGGAATTAAAAAGGGAGAAATAGGATATGCAGAATCACCTAAAAGATAATCATTCCCTTGAATAAGATTAGAATAATCTTTATAAAAAGAAGAATTTCTAAAAACTCGAGCATCATGTACTGAAGCAGGCCAACCTATATCAAAACTAGTAAAAATCTCTCTGTCATTTACAATACCTTGACAATGAATAGCATAACGTTTTTTTCAAGTAAAATAAACTTCTGAATCTTTGTTTAGAGCATTTTTCATAAGAATATGTGTTCCATCAACTGCTCTAATTATATTTTTTAACCCTCCTAAATCTTCAAACCCTTTATGAACTTTTTTACGCTCTTCCAAAATAGACCACTTGATAAAAGTTTCTTTTTGTGCCACAATTGCTTGAATAACTCGTTTAGTATAAAGAATTACTGTTCCTTCTCCTATTCCAAATTGTAAACAAACTTCAAACAAACTTTCAGTAAAACTAAGTCGACAAAGAAATACAGCTAACACAAATTTGAGGTTTATTTCCTTGAGATAAAAATACAGGATGAGGGCATATAAGATCAGCTAATTGTTAAAAATGATGTGGAAACATTCACAAAAGTTTTTTGAATCGAATAAGATCATAAAGTGGATGAATATTTTGCCACCAGTCTTTTGATTTAGCTACATGGTATATTCAGGGGTTTAAATATCTTGTGTTTGACCTTTATATTAAAACAGTTTGTAAAATTATATTATCTTTTTCTTCACTAGAAGAAGCTTCATCTTCAAATTCAGCTCCTAAAAGCTGTAACCATAACACATTATATGTTCGTTCTTTGTGACTCATATTAAAACTATCAAAACGAAATCAATCGATCCGATCAAAAAATTGTACTCAATTATAGCTACAATTTTATTGGTTATTGATTTTGCCGATCTGAGCAATCTGATCTAGAAATGAACAGGGCTATAGTAAAGCCATGAGTTCACGCGATGCAAAATTACTAAAATGCAAAAAAATGTTTTTATATAGTAAAAAATATTTTTATTGATTTTTATAATATAAAATGTTCAACATTTCAATAGAATTCTCTGAAGTCTACCATCCAAATTTTTTTTATAATTGGAAAAACTGTGTTTAACATCAACTTTTTAATAGGTAACCATATATAAATTAATGCTATTTTTGATAAATTTGGAATAATTCTTTTTTTTTTTGTCAATATTGATTGAAATTCAAATCCTAGAGCTCCGAACAGGTTGGGTCAGGTCGGGTCAGACATAAAATTGACCTGAATTAAATATACATTTGATCTGACTCGACCTGACCTGACCTGTCTAAAAAAGGAAACTAAACAATTATTAATTTTTTTTATATTTTTTTAAAAAAATATAAAAAAATATTGATACATTTTTACATTTGATTATTTTTTAAAAAAAAAAGATACTAATATAATTATT